GAGAGAGAGAGAGAGAGAGAGAGAGAGAGAGAGGAGAGGGGGTCGAAAAACACCCTATTAAAAATGGGTTGCATGAAACAAAGACATTCATAAAAGCAGTTAGTTGATATACGGTACGGTGGGGACGCTACGTTATGATATGATATGGTATGGCATGGTATTGGTATTGATATTAGTATTGGTATTGCTATTGGTATTGGTATGGTATGGTACAGTTTTGGTATTTGTATAGGTATTGGTATAGGTGTGGTATGGTGTTGACATGGTATCGTTATTGGTATTGATATTGGTATATGTATTGGTATTGGTATTGGTATTGGTTTGGTTTGGTTTGGTATGGTATGGTATGGTATGGTATGGTATGGTGTTGGTGTGGTGTTGGTATGATATTGGTATGGTATGGTATGGTATGGTATGGTATGGTATGCATGGTATGGTATGATATGGTATGGTATGGTATGGTATGGTATGGTATGGTATGGTATGGTGTTGGTGTGGTGTTGGTGTGATATTGGTATGGTATGGTATGGTATGGTATGGTATGGTATGGTATGGTATGGTATGGTGTTGGTGTGGTGTTGGTATGATATTGGTATGGTATGGTATGGTATGGTGTTGGTGTGGTGTTGGTAAGATATTGGTATGGTATGGTATGGTATGGTATGGTATGGTATGGTATGGTATGGTATGGTGTTGGTATGGTGTTGGTATGATATTGGTATGGTATGATATTGGTATGGTAAGGTATGGTATGGTATGGTATGGTATGGTATGGTATGGTATGGTATGGTATCGTATGGTATGTTATGGTGTTGGTGTGGTGTGGTGCTGGTATGATATTGGTATGGTATGGAATGATATTATGGTATGGTATGATATGGGTATAACACCTTTACAAACATTGTCATAATTATTAGCCTATAAGAGACCGGGGTCTCCCAATTTAGCGTCCATTTCAGACAGAACCAAACCAAGTGGATAGAGAGCCTCGAAAAACTAGCAAGGTAATTCAGGTTGAAGAATATCCCACAAAGGATTTTAACCAGGGATTCAAACTCCAGTATGATACCAACATACTTAATGACACATCCAGGAAAGAAAATACATTTTTTAAAGCCACGACGACATTCGAAAAGGACCACAGTTCAGATGCAAATTCACTGTTTACATATTGCTCACCTTCTCCCTGTCTTCACGTTCGCCTTTCAAAGTCAGAATGGCATCTATCTGGGGAAGGGAGGACGAGGGAAGAGGGAATGGAGTGACAGGGTAGGGTGGTCGTCATTTCGGTTTTTCAAAAATGTTACTTTCTTAACACCCCTTTCAACACTGTCAGGTTATTTAAGGGATACGATCTCCAAATTGTACGTCCTTCTCTGATGGAATCCAGCCAAATGCGTGTGGGGCCTTAAAAACCTCTCCCCAAACAACCCAAGTTCAGAACGCCCCGTTTGGGATTCGAACCACGGCCACTTGCTCCGTAGGCCAGCATGGTATCAACTTATCAACTGAGCTAACGGCGTGCCTGTCTCTTCTTTGATCTCAAGAACAGAAAACTTCAACGTTTTTTATAGCTAAGTCTGGTTGTTTGACAATTTATTTGAATAGAAAAAAGGACATGGACATAGTAACCATCCTTTAGAAAGAGACAACAGAGGGAAAGAAAAGAAGTGGTGGGTGAAAGAGAGAGAGCGAGAGAGAGACAGCGAGAGACAGAGAGAGGAAAAGAGATAGAGATAGAGAGAGAGAGAGAGAGA